TGATCCCCATCTTCGTGTGGTGGTCGTTGAGAAGGTTCTGCTGGTTCCTTGTGAGGTGACTGTGGCAACTCCTCCTTGGCCTTGGCGTCCATCGGTTCGCGTAGTCCGTGGTCTTCTGGTGGCTCACGGGAGGTATAGGCCTTGACATATTCTTTTGGCATCGTGTAGCGCGCTACCATGAGGTATTTTAGATGTCGGCCAAGGGTGCCCTTTGAGGTGGCGTCTAGCGCTGGTTTTACCGGTCCGGCAAGATCGATGGTCAAGCTGAATTGCTCCGGATGCCGAACACGGCCATGACGTTTGCCGGTGCCTCGGGACATAACGCACGTCAGACAATCCCTTCGGTAGTCAGCATGATTCGATCGTATATGCGCCTTCCACTGCTCAGGGGAAAATGCCAGGAGTCTCGGAGATTCCTTAGGCGTTCTCGTCCAGAACCTCAAGGCTGTCACCATTGCATCCACTAGTCCTGGCGCCCACACTCCTGATCCCGACCCCTTCATAGCCTTCCCTCCGCCTTCTGTCTGCATTCCATCCAAGCCCATCAAGTAGTAGACATTGGTGCCAATTGTTGTAGGTATGGAGCTCAGTGATCCCATGCTTTGTTGATCGAACGTCACCTGGCTCATCTGGTAGGCCTCCTGGAATGCTTCCCACATGGTAGTTGTCCATAATGACCTCGCCGCTCTCGGGTTTGCATCGGCGGTTGAACTAGCCGTATAGGACGTCGCAGACGTGGCTGCTGGATGTTCCAGCGCGAATGCCACCGGCCTCTGATGGTTGGGCCCCGCTGTTCTTAGTGTTCTCGCCGCCTCCGCAACCGAGTACAGCCACAGCATCCTTGCGAAAACACTCATCACCTTAACATCGGAACCCTTAGGAACTTCACCATGTTGTAGTACTCCTCCTCTCCCTGGTGGTCCTCCGACGATTCCATCCAACTTTCCCATTATCGCGCCCCATAATAAGAACCTCCATGTAGAACTCCTCATGATGTCCTGGCCCTTACACCGATCCACATCCAGCTCGATCATCACCGTGTCCCCTTCATCCACTTGGAACATCTGGTAGTGGCCCGGATTTCCGGCGAACATATGCACCACCCACCGCTTGGCTGACCAAAGACGTCGCCGTTGAGGACGTGATAAGAAATCCACTGACTTCAGAGCGCTCCAACCCGCATCCTTCAGGTCTGGCTCAAGAAGTCCATTAAGGCACTCTCCCGGAAGCCCTTGTAGATACGGTGCATCCCGCAGTGCCCTTAGTCCTGCTTGCATATCACCCCCAGCCACAAAGTCCTGCAGGTGATCCTTCCAAGACTTGTCCAGCTGCAGCGCCGCCATGGCCAGGGCATCCTCGGTATCTTGGGTCGCGTTCTCGAGGTTCTCCCGGCGTCTGTCCTCTATTCGGGATATCATTGACAGGGCCTCCAGCTCACACATCTGAGGACAACCCCCTTGGACCTTCAATCTTGTAACCGTTCCACCAGAGTCCTTCAGAATACAATGAGTGGGGGTCCATTCCAAAGAATATCCCAGCGTAGACACCAGCTCGCCTAAGGGCACGATCGTCTGTCCTCCACTCCCCACAGCATTAGCTCTTTCCCCCGGCGGCATTAGTAGGGAGCCCGCATCGTTGATTCGCATCATCAGCTTACTTGATCCTGCGAGCTGTACCAACACCTCCGTTGCTGAGGTCCACTCTGCTTCATCCTTGGCACTCCTCAGACAGTGTGTTGCGCCCGAATCTAGTAGCGCCGCTGCTGTATTGGCCGCACTCACTCGAATGTCCTTGATAATCAACATCCGCACCTCAGGCTTAGTCTTTTCCGGCGAAGAGTCACCTTGTCTCGCTGCCTGAGATTGACCCTGAACGACCTGATGGGCCGCTTGCACCAGCGCCTCCAATGTCCAAGGAACACCCTGCGCAGTAGATGCGGTAGACGGTGAGCTCCCGATAGTCGATCCTGCCGTTGCCGTAGTACTCAATGACGCCACCTCGGGGTCACGTAGCTGTGGTTTCGCGCCCCTCTGTTTTTTTGCTGACCCGACGTAGGCGTAGATCCCGCTGGTCGCTGTCCTCCCTTGGCCACTGGACATTCACGCTGTCTATGAGCTTCGCTTCCGCATTTCAGGCACTTTTTTGCTCGCGCCTCGCGGTCTAAAGACTGCATCGAGTGAGCATACTTACACTTCTCTCCACGTCGGCAACCGCTGGGCTTCAGGAAGTATCTGCAGACGTCCGTAGCTGTTTTAGTAGTATCCCTTTCAGTCTTTGGGGACCCTGCATCAACCGCCTGAATGCGAGGTGGTGTACTCATAGTAGTCATCCCTGCAGCCAAACCTTCAAGTTCTGCCTGTAGGTGCCTCTGGTAAGCGCCCACCTGCTGCATAGAAGGTTGTCCATCAAGACGAAGAGAAGTCCTGAGCATTGCAGTGCGGAACGTGGCATCGGGTGAAAGGGATATAGTTTTAGACGTTAAGGTCATCAGCCCTCTCGCCATCACTGTTGGGTCTGGTGCAGTCATGCCCATGCTGTAACATCTGCTGAGCCATCTAGGCCAAGATCTCAACACCTTGAAAACATCCGCTATTGCATCACCCTTGAGGAACTCAGACGGGGCTTGAAGGCGTCTCAATACTTCTTGTCTTTCTGCTGAGCCCCCCGGTTGGTACCATGTATATAGGCGGAAAACAATCTTGCCGGTGTCTTGTGATGCCCTCTGACTAAGCATGTCGGCCTTAAGCTCGTCTGTCATCACGTTGAGCAGCATAGAAGACGCACGGGCGTTCATGCGTAGCCACTGTCCTTCACATAAAGCTGAGGTTCCCTCCGGTTGGATAGCTAGCTAGTCGCTCTATTGGGGTTGCTGACAGCCACCTTGCATATGCAGCCTCAACCAAGCTCATCATTGCTCTCCACCACCTTCCGGACTGCTCGCTCAGATCAGACATGCTCGTGTTGGCGATTTCCAACCAATCCTGAAACTGGAGTGACGAATCCGCTCCTCCTCGTAGCTCAGGCAATGGCGCCAATGCCGTAGTTCCTGCCCTTAGACCATCTGTTGTAGCCGTTCCTGAGGACCTTGACATAGCTTGAGCTTGTAGTTCCTGAAGCTGCTGAACACCCTTTGCTATGGTTTCCATCATCGGCGACTCAGGGCTTCTTGCGGGAGGCGGTGAAGGAGTTCGATTGCGCCCCAACAAAGACCTCAGTAGCCCTCTATGGTCTGGGCCTTGGGCTCCCTCCAGATCATCTGCAGGTACGTTAGGTTTAGGAGGTAGCATTGGAGGTTGAGGTAGGTTAGGGCCTCGTTCTTCGACTGGTAGATCCCTTCTTGGTACTGCTGGAGGTACAGGTAGGTCTGAGCGTGTAGATACTGTTAGTGGATCTCTTCCTGATAGACTTGGAGGTTGAGGTACTGCATAACCATGACTTAGATCAGGAACTGGCGAAGTATCCAAAATACCCACATCTCGCTCGCTTGGGCCACCCGGGAGCTCTAGCCCCCAAAGCCCTCCAGGACCAGAAGGTGCGCTTAACAATCCTCCCCACAGGTCATCATCTCGTCCCGGCCTTCCAGCTGGATCAACCACAGGCGGCGGTCTGCTGTGACCACCGGCTCTTGCCTCTTCCAGCTGCATCTGCAACTCGGCATTGCGATTCTCTGTCTCCTGTAGGCGCGCCAGTAGTCCAGACATTTGCCTCTGAACTTCAGCTTGAATCGCCTCCGCCGGGATGCTTGATGAACTTGGTGGAGTCGGCGGCCTCTGCTGTCTTCTTTGCCTTATCGGCGACCTTAGCGCAAACACCGCACCTCCAGTTGGAGAGGCCACATTTCCAGCCAAAGGGCTCGGTGCCGCCGGGTCTCTTCCCGGAGCTGCTAAATATGAGGAGAATCTCGTCATCCACCTTGGCAACTCAAGTGCTGACAGCCATGCAGGCTGCCCAGCTCCCGACGCTGTTGATCGTGGCGTCAGATAATCCGCCGGAGCTTCGGCTTGCATACGCCCTCGCACCACTTCCGCTGGCTGTCAATATCGCAGCATCTTGTTGCTCGGTCTGTTGGTGGGCAGATACAGCTTCTACAGACTCAGCGGGTAGTGCAGGGCTTGGCCTTCTCGGTGTGCTTGGAAGCCTTCCATGACCAACCCTTGCTGGTCCATCCGACTCAATTTCAACCACACCAGTTCCGGAGCCGATTGCCCCCTGCAGATCCACATTGCTCGTTGTCGGGCCATCCATCAGCCCCGAACTCTGCCGCATAGGTTCGGAATCCTCACCCTGCGTCCCAGTTCTCGCACATGAGGATATTGGTTCCCCGGTGCCATTCACTAGCGGAGCATCCCCTTGGGCGCTCATAACCTGTTGATGCCTTGGGGCATCCATGGCTTGTACAGCATCTGCTTCTCCAGTATTCATCTTGAAACCATGAAGCAAGCGGACGCGAATTAGTGGCTCTTTTTCCGAACACGCAAGACACAAGAAATTCTCGGTACTGAGTCATCCTGACTGAACGTTGTACAAAGAATGTCAGGTTGTTGTCTCAGAAACTTTACAGGAGCCGTGTGCTGCTGTTCTTGTATGCTATACATGTAGTGACCCAAGAGGTTGAAGATTCCGCAGCCTTCCCCTTGAGGCGAGCGAGGACACAGTGTCGGGTAAAGTCTGGACTTCCGCTTTAGCA